GTAAGGGCAAATATATAATGGTTGCCTTTGAGCTGTGTCTTATACCTGTTGGCAAGTAGTCACAAGATGAGTGTTGTAGAGTAAGTAGTCACATGATTAGTTTAGACAGGTAAAGTTACATGATTTCCTTGCAGACTCAAAGACCTACCTCACCATTTACATCAAGGGTCAACAAGAAAAATACACAGCCATAGTGGAGACTAGTGTATTTATACGAAACAGATGGATCAGGTTAAGTCTAAATATGATCAATATAAAAATGTGAAAGCACATGTTATATTTTAAATAAAAAAAATCCAGTCATCTTTCAATAATCTTATGATATAAATCTTAAAACCGGGGCAATAACAAGTAATTACTCTCCCTTGCTTTAATATACTGACCTTTGTTCACAAAGAAATCTTGTGATTATCTTATACCAGTTTGTTTTTTTAAAGCCGAAAGTGACGTGTTGTGCAGACTAATCACAGCTCAGTTGTCTCAGAAATTTAGAGAAATCTACATTTTAGAAGCCAAGATAAGCTTTTGGCCTCCCATTGCAGATCTTGACAAAGCTGGTTATGCGTGTGCGATTGGTTCTCACTGAGGGATGAATTTACATAAACTGAGAACACTGAGGTGACCCAGCAAAAACACCACTTTAATTTGTTTTCCCTACGCCAACCCTCTCACCTCCTCTAAATACAGCGTGTCAGTTTTGTCAGTTGTACAGCATGCAGCTTGTGTGCATGAATACAGTGGTATATATGAATACATTAATCTATATTTGTACCCAATCAATAAAGTGTATACCATGAATATTCAGCAGCTGAGATATTATGCTTAATGGCATAGATGCCATGAATGTATATAGACTTCTGGACTCTAATGCATAGGCACTTTGCTTATTAGAAATGTTTTATCAGTCAATAAAAACATTTCCACTTTCACCCGCTGACCTCTCAAAATTTTTTAAAATTTAAATACAAGTCAAATCTAGCCTATTTACATGTCAAGGGTTGTGTCCAGTGTACGTAGAAGGTCTAATAATGGAACAGAAGCAGACGATTACTGATTTAATGCACAGCCTCTTAAACAGTCTCTACAGTTGTGTACAGTACATACATGAGTTCCTCTGTAATTTCTATCTAATTTTAATATATAATAATTTTTTTAATTTTGTTTTTGAGTTGAGGTTTTCATTTACATCAAGCACAGGAAAGCCATTTCCTGTTCATGTATCTGCAAATACCATAACCACATAAGAAAGACCTCTGTTAGTTCAAGTAAACATGTCAGAGACACACCAAACAAACCAGTACAGCAGGGGAAAGGCTGTTTGGAGTCTGGAGTGGATTAGAAGGAAGTAGAGAAGTGGAATTTAGGGTAAATCCATGGGCTCACTTCCAAACCCCAATGTTTTAATGGTCAAATCTCTGTGTGGGCAGTTGGATGCAGAAATGGAATATTGTGTCTATGTGGGTAATGTGTGTCTATGGGCATGCATGTGTCTGTGCCTGTGCTGTAATACAATACAATCCATTACCATGTTAGTGGTCACCATAAAGTGCTATTACACTATTGATCAACTCCAGAGACGTTCTTTGGACTACGTCAGCCATCTTAAGTTTGAATTAATTTGTATTATCTTTGGCTAACAGCGTGACGTTAGGGATGACAAATCAGTCGGTCCAGACTTAAATATCTAATCAACAATCGGATGTATTACAATGACATGTCCGAATCAGGAAACAATGGCAGCTCACGTGGTCATGTATTACAGATACAGTACACCAAAATATGTTTTTAAAAATAGATTTTAAGTGAAAAACAGTAACAGAATTTTGATTCAAATTTTTCAACACTGCCCAGTTTAACAGTTTGATCTGCGTTGTGCTGGACGGACTTACTGAGAGTGACTTGTCAATCACAAGGTAGACACACTTTAAAGCAAACCCTGCTTTATTGTCTATTGTACTCTAAATTGGACCATAATGTACAAAACGAACCTGATGTTGTATGGAAGGAGACTTCAAACTAGCAATTGAGACCATAAACTCATTAGGAAACTGTTTAGTGAGAAGTGAGAAGTAGGCTCATTTCCCCACAGGAAAAGTAATGACATTTACTCTGATTCACTTTCTGACATTTGTCCTAAAAATACAGAACTCCATCAATGTGAAGCTGACAAGATAGTCTCTTTAGCACACACTGTAACACACAAAGACATAATATTTAGTTCTTGTTATAGGCCAGACTGAGGCTCCATTCAGTTTCCCCGCAACAAAATTATGTATTCCATATACAGAAGTTTAATCAGTTTCAGTATGACAGAGGAGCAGAGGCAGCCCAATAATCTCGTAATGCTGACTCTTTTCATTTATGCAGGCTGCTCTAAACTACATTACTTGAAGTGTAGCATGAACGAGAATCAGGTATAAGGCTGATTCAGTAGAATAACAAAGTGGGTGGAGGTGCAGGTTCTGAAAGTATTTTTCTTTTTATGGTTTCTTTGAAACATGTTGGCTTTTTAAATTAATTGGCAATTAAATTTATATTTCCATCCTTGTTGATATTTTTTTGGAGTGCCTTTTTGATCATCCACGTTTTTCTTCCTGTTTCCCAGAACACCCAATGCATCTTCTGATATATGATTGAGTATTCAGAGCAGCCAGTCATCTTCCTTTATGCTTTACTTTTGGTGATAAAATCAATGTTCCTTAACACTGAAACAGTTTCCTAAATAATTGGTCCATACTGTAGGATTACTGTATGTCACAAATGTTTAAGGATTTAATGCACTCACAGTGTCTAACAATGTTACATGTAGCATCATCAAAGTTAAAAACAAAAAAAGACGAAAGACTGGAAAAGCCTGAGTGTTTACATGCAATATGGATCTAAAGAGTCATGCACAAAGCGCACCAGTGATGCTATGGAAAGCAAATAAAAACAAGACATAGCCAGACAGTTGCTCAGTACCTCTTTCATTATAGACTTAAAGGAGATGATATGATTGTCCAAAATAGTATTTACAGTTCAGTCACTGTCCAGTCACCACTCATAGCAGATTAT